AGAAAAGAGTTCACTTCTCAATGTAATTATTCTTTTTCCTGACACATGCAGTGGTTCTACATGGAGCAGCACTTCGCCACAGTGAAGTGACCGTTTCCCCTACTCCCAACCTCCCATACTTCTGTTTTAATAGCCTATAGAAATTGAACTGTTCTTCTCTTCGCACATCATTTACTTTATGCAGTGAATCGCTCAAAGCAACAAAACTGAAAAGCAATGAGCCATTCAGATGATTTTTACTGAAATTAACACTTCAATGCTGTGCCTCTTGGTTTCTTGTGATAGCAAGTTGGACGCTTTCTGATCAGAACAATAATATTAAGAACAGGACATTAATAGAAAAAGTTAAAAACTGCCCTTCCTCACACCTAGGAATCTGTGGCTGGATTGCTTAAGGACAAGGAGAGAACTTCCTCAGCAGCCTGATATTGATAAATGAACTTCCTGCCTTTGAAAGTGTGCTTTCCTCTTAATCCGAAATTTCAAACCCAAGGGATAAAACATAAGACAGGAGATTGGCTTTGTAATGATGCGGCTGGAACTCTTTATTTCTCCACAGAGCTGGAATTTGGGAGCGCACTCGTGTTGCACTGCAGGCATCAGCACTTGCAACTAAGCTGGAAAAGCAGATGAAAGCTGATGGTTTTCACTTCTCCGTAGGGCTGCGTTTCAAGTTCTGTGCCCAGCAGAAGACACGTCCTTGCCCAGGGAATTGCTTGAAAGAGTCCAGCAGAGCCACAAAGCTGAGAAGGGAGTGGAGCATCTCCTGCTGAGGAGCGGCTGAGGGAGCTGGGGCTCTTGAGCTTGGAGCAGAGGAGCCTGAGGGGTGCCCTCATTCCTGGGGATCCATTTGGAAAGGGCAGTGTCAGGAGGAAGGAGCCAGGCTTCATTCTATAACCTTGCAGAGATGATACAGGGCTTGATTTATTAGTAGTAAGGTATTTATGTTGCTTTTTTAGAGATTATTTTGCATATTTCTACTTCTGGCTGTTTAGGTGTGTAATACAGAAGGATGAATGTACCCAGAAGGATGTGCACGTCAGCTGGAGAAATCAGTAACTTAATGTGCTTAGCAAGATGAGGCAATATCATTGCAATAGTATAAACTGCTCTGCTTCCTATTGCTCTGTTCAGAAACGGAACAGGAAGGCATCCTGTGACACCTGTCACGGGCCTGCACGCAGCAGGTATATCATAAATGAAATAAGTTTACCCCCAAAATGTGACTGAGACTTAAATCCTAAAGTGAATACTGAAATGTGAGCCCAGGCTTTTGGGGCTGCACTAATACCACTTCACTGGCATCTGCCTCTCAAAGGACTGCGTTGTGGTAGGAAACGTTGCAAGAGTGCCTAACTTTAGATCACAGCACATTGTGAGTGGGTTTATGAGCCCAGGATGCATTGCCCTTGTGGAAGTGGGGCATGAATGCAGATATGAAACAGGATTCTGTGGCCAGGGGAGAAGAAATGGGGGCAGCTGCACATCTGCACCAGTGCAGAGGGACAGGAACTGATCCGGGGGGACCTGGCCCTGGAGGCCGTCTGCAGCCGCACGGCGATTCGGCACTGGAGCCTGGCCCTTGTCCCTGCTGCTCATCATCACACAGCGTCCTCCTCATTTTGAAGCAATGTTTTCAAGGGAAGTCACTGAGGAATTAGGCAAATACGAAGGCATTCTCATTGAGACCAAAGAATTGCTTCAGGCAGGAAGTTGTGGCATGCACTTTTCATCTTCTTACAGTTTATTTCTTAAAAATATTAGTTGTTTTAGTCAAAATCTTCTTTGCTAAATACTAGAAGGCTTGGCAACAGTTATGCATTATAAATATGATTACGGAAGACGCTATTGAAATTAATCTCAACTTTTGTAATGCAAAGGTAGCTGTAGAGGAAATGTGTCTGATGGAAAGCCTTGAGTTTAATCTCCGGTGGTTCTTTGAAGAATTGTGTTTTATGTAGAATAAGACACTCGGGTGAGGGACCTGAACAACCCAGTGTGGCATAAACTGTTACTTACGTTGAATTGTCTGCAGCTGCTTTGTGTGAAAATTGTACTTCACAAATGTCTGTTGTGCATGGGCTAAAAGCAGTAACAGAACATTCCAGGGTCCTGAAACACCAACATCATCCAGTGTTTGAAGTGTGTGAGCAGTTGACCCAAGTTAAAGCTAAAATGAAGAGAAATGGGTCTGTCCTGCTGCAGGTCATTACTCTGCAAACTCTTTTTCCTTGAAATGATGCATTGCTAGTTGTGCATGCAGCTTCTTTGTGAGAGATTGAAGTACTTACAGTAGCAGAATAGAAGATGGTTGTGTACATATGGGTTTGATCAATGGGCACGAATAAACAAGCACTCATTCCAAAGTATCTGTTCTCCAGAATGTTTTTGTGAGGCTCAGACCGTAACATGACTTCAGTTTCCAACATCCAAGGGATTCCCAGAAAAACAAACACCACTTCCTCTTCCAAATCTTTTCATCAGCGTTGTTTTCCAACCCAGCAGACGTTTAACAAAGGGACCTCAAGCGTTGTTCTTCAGAAGTGATGCTTTGCAAACAGCAAGGTCCATTTGCAGATGTTGTCTTGAACCATTTAATGAAGGACAGATCCACAAATGTGTCTCGTATCCAGGGCTTTTTATGAAAATTCAGCCTTTCAGAAAGACTCTTTTAATAGTATGTAAGACAGTTTCAGATCGGAGAAAACACGCTTGACTTGAGGCTGGGGTTTCATTTTTGTGTTAAGCCCACAAAGGGAGTGGTTTTTTGCTCCACATGCATTGGTTCTTGTCCCCTGCCACCTCCTGTGTTGTGCTTGCACACGCGTTTTGTGAACCTGTTTCTAAAGTGCAAAACAACGGTTGGTTTTAAGCCACCTGAGGACCTCGACAGGGTTTGCCCTGCAGTTGTGCAGCAGCTGTGTCCTTGCACCCCTCACGGGGAAGCAAAGCAGCGCGATGAAGCCCTGGTGTGGGTGTGCGAGTCCATTGCCAGGAGCGTACTGGACTCATCAGTGTCCCCACAGGAGCTGGAGATGTGATGGCTGGGGTATTCACACTGTGTGCTAACTGTTGTGTACAGACAAAGCCTCAAACTGCTGAGGTACGATAGCTTAAACTTCTCTAAAGTCATTTCCAAACCTTTAGTTGGGTTTCAGATTGGACCTACAAGGTTTGCAGTCATGAAATCATCCTGCCTCTAATAAGAGACAAACCACGAGCCTCATCGTTATCGCAAGGCAGATTCTCATGTAGAGCTGACATCCAACAGCCCGTGCTTAACTTGGTGCCACCATTTCTCCCTGAAATCCTCAGCGTGATCAGGAAAAGCAGGATATGCCGAGAAGGTCGGTAGGATTTACAGTCTGGGGTGTTTGGGAATTTCCTAAATCAATATAATGGTTTGGGAAACTTCTCTAAGGTGTCAAAGCTTATTTTTAAAATACGTTTTCATTTCAATCACGACAGTCTCGTCTAAAAGCACGTTCAATGACGTTTTTGTCAGTGTTTAGGAAATACCTTTTTGTCTGGTTAATAGTGAAGTAATTATTTTGAAAGGCACAAGGTTTTATGCCCCTTTAATGCCTGCAATTTTAGCACATTCTTATGAAACAAACTAACTTTTGTGTGTAGAAGCGAACAAAATACCTGCTTTTTAATTCTAGGATCAGGGTGTCAGCTCTGAATAACGTCAGCTTTGGTTTTCCCGGGTGGTAACAGGATAAGGTGATAACCCAGAGAGAACAGATTATTCAAAACACGTGTAGTTTAGGTTGTAAGAGCATCCACTGAGGAGGTACAGGAGAGAGGAAAGGTCAGTGACACCGTTGCCTGTGGTTCAGAGCTCTCTCGGCCTGTGCTGACCCGATGGAGGGTGTCTGGCGGCATGGGGACAAAATAAATGTGGCTCTATTGCTTCCAGACGTGAGCTGTCTCACACAGAGTGAACTCGGGTGCCGTTGTACTCCTGGCACGATGAAGTTGCAACCTTGAAAAGCCACCAAAGGATGATTGAAGGCCAATTTTTGTTTTCCTCTGTAGAAGCTCAAAAGCTTTATGGAGGTGTCTCATCAACAGCAGCAGGATGAAATGTAGGTTATTTCTTTGCAGCGGTTAATCTTGATTTGCCAGACCATCAGTTCTCTGATTAGTTTTTGCGAAACTTCAAAATAATTTGAAGCAATTATTTAAAATTATAGAAGTATCAGGTTGAATTCAGCGTTTTCAGTCACTTGATGTTAGGTTTTCTATTCAGAGCGGGGTATGTGGGTGCTTTACCTGCAGCTTTGGCTTGCCCGGTGTGTTGATCCGTGTCGAGCAGGCTGCAGAGTGGCTGGGAAGGAGGCTGCAAAGCTGGGGTGAGTGCACGCAGGCAGCTTGGGATGGAAACCTGCAGTGTTTGTGGCGGGAGCGTAGAGCTGTAGCTCCCAAAATGTCCTGTCAGCTGCAGTCATCAGTGCACAGTGTTCTGCAGAACCGTCGTCTTCCATCTAGAAGGGTTTTGTCATGACTTTGAAGTACCTTTTTTGGGACAAATGTCTGAATTCTTCCAACTTCATGGCCTTGCTAGTTTGATTTAGGCCTTTGCTTTTTGCGGTGGATGCCTGCCAAGTATATGGTGTGTGTGCATGGATTAAATTCAGAGCTGTCTTCATTATTACCCCTTAGTAAGAAAACAGGCCCTGGTTTGGTCCTGTGTTTCTATCCTCGTCTCTCCCTTTCTGCTTCCTTATCTCCGTGAATCTCCTCTGTTGTTTTCCCTGTGATTTTTGTATTTGTGACAGTTCCAACTCTCAGCCCAGGCAGCATCAGTCCTGTGTGTTATAAACATCGGTGGTGATATTAATGGTGTTGATACTCAGTGTCACAGCTTCAGCGCTGCTGCTGCAGACCATGAAGAGGGGCCTAAAATTCGTGCCCTGAAGCCTTTGTGTCAGGCTGTGCGTAGATTTGCGAGCTGTGTGCTCCTCACAGCGTTTGCAAGATTGTCCTTTGTCGCCATGGAGAATGATGTAGAAATGGTAAGGTACTGGGAAATTAGGCTGTAAGCACGCAAGCTGTATTCATAGAAAGCATATATAGAGTTGAGCAGGCACAGATTTTGATGAAGCGTCAAAGATCGCACAGCTGAGATAATTGTAGAATTGTTCTCTTTAGAAGAAATAAATAAAGACACAGGCATTAATTCAAGATATTTCTTGGTGTGAAGTCCTTGATGCCCTCAACCTACTCAATGCATCCTGTGAACTTGGAGCATCCTTTGGGCCTCCTTTCAGACGCCTCTCAGCAGAGCTTCATGTCCTGGTGTCGTTCCTGGCTGAAGGATGAGCAGCATTTCATCACACTGGTTTTTCAGTTGGTGTCAATAAATAGTCAGTATCACTGATACCACTGAAGGATGCTGCAAAGGAAGGTGCCTAGGATCACGTTGTCAAATGTGCTAACGTGAGGAGTCTGAAATGAGCGGTGCGTGAAAGGAATCGTGTAGCTGCTCATAGGTGTGCGAGTGCCCTGCGTGCCATGGGTTTATGGCCCACAGGGTCATTCTTCCAACCCACCATCTGCTGCGTTTCCTCAACTCTGGATTCGGGCAATGCCCTCACATTTTGGGGGAAAATAACCCAAACTTCCGCATCAAAACCAAGGCACAGTGAGGGAAACAGCGATGAATACGGTCATCAGGTTTTTCTGTTCAGTGTTGAGGTATGCAGATAAGCACATCGTGTCCAGGGGCTCCTGAATTTCCAGAGGTAGGCAGGAGGAAAGGGGACTTTGTGGGGAAATGGGTGTCCCCACCACATATATAGCTGTGGTACACCGGCCTAATGGAGCTTCTGGCTAAAATCCAGACCCTCAGCTGGTGCAAATCAGCCTTGCACCATAGAAATCAAGGCTGCCGTGCCGATTTGCTACCCCCCTGCGTCTGCACCCGAGCTCTAAAGGTTACATTCAGATTTTGCCTTAATTACAGAGAGATGAGATGAGATTGATTCGTAGAGAGATGTCATGTTTGCCCAACATGCGGCTGAATTAATTGTGCATTATTGATGTAATCAGTTTAATTAGAAGAAATGGATTTGTTTCTATTATCCTTTAGGAAACGGTACAAATGGAAAATGTGTTTTTAAACTGGGCATGCTTCCAGGACATTTTATTTAACTGTCTCATCTTTCAAAATCTCCCCTTTTTCAATCTAAGAACGACTATTTTTCTGTCTTGAAAACTTTTATTTACAACCTGCCTTAAGTGTGTGTTGAACAGGGCTCTTTATTACTATTTATGTGGATCTTTCAATGTAAACCCTTAGGAAACCCAAGCTGCATTTTAACCCCTTTTCAAGACTATCAACGTACAGTTCTCTAGACACTTGTAAATGAGACATTTCTATTAAGTAACTTACAACAAATGTTGTAGAACCCTCTAGGTCATTTGTTAAAGATTTGCTGTACTGCTCTTGGTGATGGGAAAAAAATGATACAATGCTGAGAAATGCTGGAGGAGGAAATTAAAAGTTGATTGTTTTATGTGGATCCGTTAGAAATGGGTCACGCTGAGGTCTGAGATGTGTTTGACTTGACTTTGTAAAAAAAAATCAGCGTGGTGTGATGAACACTTTTTTCAGTTTTTCTCCTCATTAAGGTGTATTATCAATAGCAGAGAGAGATAAACTGTATTAACGTGGTACTAAGTTTACACAGATAAAGAAAGAGAGAGAAGGCTGAGGGGAGACCTCATCACCACCTACAACTGCCTCAAGGGAGCTTGGAGAGAGGTGGGTGCTGGGCTCTTCTCCCAGGTGATGGGGGACAGAACAAGGGGAAACGGCACCAAGCTGTGCCAAGGGAGGTTCAGGTTAGAGCTAAGGAGGAAGTTCTTTCCTGAGAGGGTCGTCAGAAGCTGGAACAGGCTGCCCAGGGAGGTGGTGGAGTCACCATCCCTGGATGTGTTTAAAGAGCGGGTAGACGAGGTACTTAGGGATATGGTTTAGGGGGTAGACAGGAACGGTTGGACGTGATGATCTCAGAGGGCTTTTCCAACCGAGCGATTCTGTGATTCTGTGTGAAAATCTGGTAAACTTGAGGAACACAAAGAGCAACGTGTTCCTGGAAGAGCGTTATTTTGGCAGTACCTCACATCAGCTGTGCTGCGTGGTGTCAGCTTTACAGCGTGCACAGGAATGTTTCATATTGAGCCTCAGATCTTTCTGTCCCTGTTGCTTACCCACAGCTAGATGGATCTAGATAGCCCTCGTATCAGAGCTATTGAATATGCCTCTCTGACATAACCAAACTCTTTAGGTGCTTATTTTTCATCTTGGTGTGGCATTGATCCTTCAGGCCTCAATTTGGAGAAGCCTGATGGATGTGCTATTGCAGAAGTGAACTCTCCTCTGTAATAGAAGCTATTTCTTAAAACGTGCCTGACCTTATCAGGACAGCCCTCCTAAACTGTGTGTGTGCCTGCAGTCAGTCCAGAGGAGCAGCGGAGGTTCAGGCTGGCTCAGGTAGCTGGAAGGCAGTAGTGAAACAAGATGCTTGCTATGGGCTGGCTGGGTGGCTACCTCGCCCCGTGCTGGGCAACCAGAGACTGAGCCATGGGCTGAGGAGCCTGTAGGGTCTTGGAGTTTAGGTACACAGTTGCAAGGCTATTGCTGGATTGCAGCCTCAAGAGTTTAGGGCGGTTGACCCTACTGTAACGATGCTACCAACACAGACTCAGCCAGCCAAGCAGTTGTCCTGAGGCTGGCTCCCCTGTTAATTTACTGAGCACAGGATTCTCTGAAAGGTGAAGTCTGTATGGGATTAATTATTAAATGGGAAGGTTTTTTTAAAAGGCCAAAGAAAAGCAAGTGCCTAGTTCCATGAGTTGACTTTAATCCTAACCCAAAAGCCTAGACGGTTTTGGGGTTTTTTTTCCAAATTCTCTTGAAGACTTCTAATTCAGCTGCGAGACAGCATCAAGTATTCAAGTGGTTTGTGGTCTCCTTTCGCTTGGCACGTGCTTTACACACAACATGGTGCTCAGGTTTGTCCTAATCAGTACAATAGTTTGACAGCAGTGGATAAAACACCTCTGCTATTGCCTGCATTTATACAGCAAAGCGAGGGAAAAATGTGGTGGTGAGTGAGAAGACAGTGAGTGGCAAGCCCTCTCCAATCAGGGAGGATGGAATAAGGTCAAGGTGAGATGTGCAAGGGCTCTCATTGCCACGCCAATAATGCAATTCAAATAATCCCATTCCTAGACTCAAATCACTGCAGTTGGAGAAGGGTGAGGGTAGGAAAGCAAAACGCAAGTGTAAGTAGTGCAATTAAAATTAAAATTCGTCAAATGCTACAGGTTCCTGCATCCCACCATGCAGTGTTGCCAGCTCACTGCTGCTCACAGTTTGCAGAAGCCATTCTGTGATTTCAGTTACTGTCCCATTTGAGTGGGATGAGGGAATTTCAGTCACTGGTGCCTGCTGTATTCCTTGGGCTGGTTGTGGTACCGTAGCGGACACCAAAGGAGCAGGCAGGGCAATGCAGGTAGGGTGGCATTCTCTTCTCAAATCCAGTCAGCCTCACCTTTGTAGCCTATTGCCATTTCCATGTCAAGATTATTTCATAAGTTAAATTCATTTTCTTCTCACCAGACTTGTCCTATGCCTCCTGTGAATGTGTGACACACCTTAACCTGGCATTGTGGAGAAGAGAAAATCCAATGTGGACCTGGTTGAAGGAGTGTTTTAGGGGAGTTTCCTGCAGTGTATGTGGCTTGTTTTGGGTTGGGTTCCTCCCAGTACTAAAAATGAGTCAGCTACAGATGGGAAGGAGGTCCTGTTCTTCTACTGCATGGGGGTTTTGGGGTTAAACAGCTCCTGGAGTTGGAGAAACCATATGGTCTGAAGAGGTGCCCAGCAAACACCAGTCGGTGATGTGAGGATGCCTCTTGTGCAGTTTTAAAAGTCTGATGAGTTGTAGTTGATCCACTTTTCTCAGATGTGTTTTAATGCAAAATTAAACCAAGGATACGTTTCCAGGTCTCTGTGACACCAGAATAACTTTTGCTTCCCATAGTGAAGTTTTACCAGTCTTCAGTGGAGAATCGAAGAGGAAAGGGCTGTTCTGTGCGCAGGAATTGTCTCCCATGAAACACCTCGTTTACTCACAAGATGGCTCTGCCGGTTTCATAATAAAATCCCAAAAGTTTGGAAAGCATCTTTTAAAGTAACTCAGTACAGATTGTAAAGGAAAAATTCAAAAAGGTGGACTACTCAAAATAAACGTGGTGGTGTAAGAACACTGTGTACGTCCCACTGCATTAGTGCAGTTAATCCAGCAGCGATTAGAAGAGATTACACACTTGTTTGGAACCGCTCATGGATTAATCTGGCCAGTTGAGGTTGATCAAATTAGACATCCTTCTTCTAATTGGCCTTTTAGTTATAGGACAGATGGCCAATATTCACCTTATTTAGAGGATAGTATTTTATTTACCATTTTAAAGTGTGGCAGATGAGCTCCTTCCTTAACAGAAACCCTTGAACGTTACAGAAGAGTTGCAGTTTTTATATCGGTGAAGTTTTTATGTACTTTCATAAGGAAGTACCTTTTGGGAGATGCTTCTGTATTAATTCCCTTCTCTTTCTTTCAGAGGTACCTTAGTTCCCTGATTTTCTCTGGTGTGAAAGCCACACTACTTAATACAATCTGCTTCAGTTTAAAGTGCTTGTGAATCTCAGTACTTCACAGCCTTTTATCTCGTCCTTTGGGTAATGACAGGTATTTGTTAACCAGTCAACGTATTTGCGTTCAAATTAAGGAAATTAAAAAGAAGGTTTCCTCTCTGTCACAAACCAGTACAGTGGCCATGGGGAAGAGCACTTGATAGGACTGTCCATGGCACTACAGTAGTCAAAGTGATGGTTTTATTTGCAGTTATAATTCTCACTCTTCAATGGTTTAATGATGAACTTCTTTCCTTGTCAGGCCACGCTTGAGCCCTCAGGTACTGGTTCAGGGCTGGCCCCTGCTCTTCT